TTTCAAAATATTTCCAAAATTTCCAACCTTGAAATGGTTTTTTTAAACAATTTATTTACCAAGTCTAAAAACAAAAGTTTTGATTTCCCAATAAGAAATTGAAAAATAATATCTAAAACTCAAGTTTTGTGGGTTATCAGCTTTAAAGTTGGAAAAAAAATTCTCATAGAATAAAAAAGGCAGCATTACTTGAAGTTCAATCGGAGATAAAAATGAAATTATTTATCATTATAATGAAATAAAAAAATTTCCCCTCCATATTAAAGAGAACTAACAGTATCATTAATAGCATAATTTATCATGGTATCATTATTTAGTATCTTTTATAATAGTAATATTTTTTTTAAATAATAAATGAATCCTTAAATTTTAGAGACTTTCGTGACCCGGATAAGGTATATGTTCCATAGGCCCCATTCAGGAGAAAAAGAAATGAACCTCTAGGATAGGAAGTGAGTGTGTATTTTTGCACCCACATTTCAAACAGAACTTCCGGTCGTAACTATTAATTTCACTAAATTGTGTAATTAGGTCGTTAAGTATTTTTTCTTCTTTATAAAAGCCTATAATGATTTTCAAATTACAACTTATTTAAAAGCGAGAACGTCTTTTTTTTTCTTCTCTCCAAATTCACTCTTCAATTCGATGTAAGAGTGATAGATTCCAAAGTGATCATACAACTTCTAAACCTTTTAATGTAAGTAAAATAGAATTATATTCATAGCGAGAGAAAGAGAGATTTCTTAATTTAAAGAATATGAGGTATGTATATGCATATATATATGTATATAATTTCTAATTGCTTTCTATAACAAGCTTATATTGAAAGAAAACCCTCTATTATAGAATACGTTATGCTTCATTCGTGAAGAAAGTTATTGATTTATCAAACTGAATCTACCATATTAAAAACTATAAAAGAACCACATAGCTGTTAATACGTTTAGCTTATAAAATAATAGCTATGTCATTGAAGGAATAAACTTCAAGTTATCCTTCTAAATTTTAGTAAAAGTTCCAAATTTTTCAAATTTTGTTTTTAGGACGATATTTAACCTCATTTGGATTTTCAAAGCTAGCAGAAATATTAAATAATCAATTTTAAAATTTATAATATATAATATGCTTCAAATCTATGTTACTTAGGAAAAATTTGTTTTTAGAACTATAACATCTATTAAAACAATAAAGCAAATAGTTTCTCTATTACTATTAGGAATTCATTGATAATAAAAATTTGATGAAATGCATTTAAAAGTACTTTCCAACAATTAGTTGCTTGATTGTATTTAATTTATAAAAAAGTAAATTCGTTAATCTTCGCTTAACACATGCTCGCATGTTAATACACTTAAATTATCTATTAGATGTTTAAAGAAATATAAATGAATTTTCATTTCCTATTGTACCTTATATCATTTGATAAATACTGTTAGCAAAATCAGAAATCCTTGAGCTTTTTTTAAAAGAAAATAAAGAGTGGATAGCCTTTTTTTAAAAATAATATATCTTACAAGAATATAGAGAGATATGGAGCAATATAGAGAAGGTTAACAGTTTTTCTTGTCAGCTCTGTATTTGATTAAAGAATATTTCTAGATAGTTTTAAGTTTTCGAAATAGTTATTGCTGTATGATTCAAATAAATTATTGCTTGTATAAAGTGTAGAATTAAAATTATTTCTGATATTTGTTTCGGGTATTTGAAATAGAATATCCTATTTTTAATATAAAAAGTTTACTTTATCTCATGAAAAAAAATTATTAGAGTTATGGAAGCAGTAATTTCATAAAAAAAACTATTGCAAAATATTAAATATAGTGTCTATTGCGAAAATCTGTTTCTGTTTAAAAACTATTTTAGAACAATACACAATTAAATACCTATAAAAAATATTACTTCAATTGATTTTTTCAATGAATAGAATTGTTTTTAATATTTATATAGAACCTTCTTCCTAAGAGCTATTAAAAATGGGAAAATATTACTTATTAATTATGATATTATTTATAACAGGATATTAATTGCAGCGTCTGACTAAAATATAACAGCACATGACATTTTCAGAAGTGAAATGAAACTCTAATATTGGAAATCGATGCTTTATACTTTACTTCACATTTACAAGTTTAGGGCTGCTGTAATTCAATGTAGTTTTTACAAACTTTTACATTAGTATCGAAAATATACATATAAATAACTTGTCAAAAGTCTTATAACTTTCAAGCTTTTTTGTAACTATAAGCGTATTTCAAAATATCATCATTTATTCAAAAATGAAAGAATCAAATGAATAACTAAAAAATGATTAAGTAAATGCGTTGTTTGCTCAAAATTGTTCTTTTTACTATTTGTTTGCAATTTATATATGATATATTTCAAAATTACCAATTTTAAACTACTTTCAAGCTAATATTGTTTGAGAATTTCATAAGTCATAAAGTATTCCAATATATCATCTATTTCTTAAAAAAAAATGTTAAAAAGTATGAACTAGAAAAGAATTCCAAAAATACTTTATTTGTTCAAATTGTTGTTTACTATGAATTTCCAGTTTAAATGAGACATGGATTAAAATTGTATATCAAATTTTAATAACTTTGTCAAATTCTTTTTTATATAAGAGAATTTTATCGATCAAAAAGTATCTAAATCTATCACCTTTTTCATTAAAAAATGTTTTGAAAATCAAATCTAGTACTCTGAAAATACGTTGTTGACTCAAAACTGTTCAAGTTACTACTGATGCAACTTTTGAATAAAACTCATTTAAAATGTTAGCTTTCAAACTATTACTTTACGAAAATTTTATTACCCAAAACATATTTTAACATACCATTTTTTTTTCAAAAATAAAACTTTAAAAGTATTGGATATTATTTTAGTATGTTGGAAATGTGTTGTTCGCACAAATTTTTTTCTTTTTACTAATTACTTATCATGTTTTAATCAATATTCAAAATAACACATAATTTTTACTATCCTAAAAGTTCCTTAATACTTCAAATGAAAGTTTGAATAAAAAACTAAAAACAATTTTAAAAATGCGTTATTTGTTCAAAAAGATTTCTTTTATTAAAAACTTTTCACGTGTGGAGATAATTATTTAAAAAAAATTAAATTCGATAATCTGCGTCAGAAATTATTGTTTGATCTTCTTAATTTAGCAATAATTTGTAACCTACTAAACTTACATTTAAATTTTAACAGAAGTAAGGGTTAACTAATTAATATATATAATTCATTACCTCGTTATTTACACTAAAATTTAATTTTGAAACAAATCAGATTGTTAGGTTTATGTAACTTTAAAAGAAACATTATATTTTTCTCCTCTTATATTAATATAATGCTTTTTATTAAAATGTAAAGAAAAGTAAATATTTGAAGCCATTTGAAACGAGAAGCAAGCAAAGTTCTTTAGCATTGCAGGAAGAAGAAGATGAAGAATTAATTAAATTCTTTAAAATAGAATGAATCTTTTGAAAATCATATCACTATATCATATCAATAGTTCTCACTTCAATTTCATTTCCTTAAAAATATTATTATTTATTGAAACCCTATTTTGGAAGTGAAAGAATGGTTGGATGAGGTTTATAGAAATTTTTAACTATTTTAGAAATTTAGAAATTATTGTTTTAGAAAAATAGTTAACTCCCGGATTTAATTCATTTTTAATGAAAAAATAAATTATGATTATTTTCATTATCTTATTATATTATATTTAAATTATATTATTTTTAAGAAGTGTTTCTAGAACTTAGGAAACTTATAATTAAAAGATCATTGCATTATTTTTTTATGAATATTTGATGTTTTATACAGTATTTCCAAGGAGTATATTATGATAAACAAGGAAATTGAGCAAGTATTTAAAACAAAGTAGTATCTGTCATTTTTCTGGAGCATTCATTCATTTTTTAATGCAATCATACAGTCATTTTTAATAATTTTCTTTAGAAAACAGAATTTGAAATTATAATGCAGTCATCATGAAAGTATCACTTTATTTTATTTAAAGATTTTGACTTTAGTGTATGCTTAAATATAAATTGAAAAAGGAACATAAAAAACAAATATTAGTTTAGCGTTTTTTACATTTTAAATCCTGATTTTTAAAACTGGGATAACTATCGAGCTTTACAAATCCACTCGAAACTTCTTTTATGTGTTAAAATTAGGTTTTATTTCAATATAAGCAAGACATACTTTAGTGGTAAGTTACTCTGAAAATAGTTTTTATTAAAATCAATGTTTTTTTTTATTTATTCTACTTATCGATTTGGGAGATTGAGAAAAAACAGTAAGAAATATGATTTAAAAAGAAAATATGGAATAATTACGGTATTACCCTCAAATTGCGTACAAAAAAACATTTAAAGAATTCTGCACTATCTACTGTACTTATATACAAAATCCTTAAAATATTTAAATTTTGCACTCGAGGTTAATATTGAAAGTAAATTAAATTGTAAAAAGTTTCTGAGATTTTTGATAGTAATAATGAATAAAAATAATCATGGTAAAACATCGGATATTTCTTTATTATAGGCAACGAATACTATGCAGGCATTTTATGGCAATATCCTCTAATATGCGATGTATATGGGTCATTCTCACGAAAACTGTCATTTTTCAGTTCATAAAATCCCAAAAAAGTTAAGTGAATAAAAAGCTCTGAAACATTTTGTATTAATAGAAATATGTAATGGCATTATAAAGAAAGTATATATCCTATAAATTATACTTAATATTTAAATTAATTAATTTTTTAAATAATTGATTTGGAATTAATTAATTTATACTAATTAATAATTAATTAATTAATTTAATAAATAAATAAATTAATTTAATAAATTAATTTATTAATTTTTTAATTTATTTTTCAAATTAATTAATAAGTAAATTAATTATTTTCACTATTTAAAAAGTGAGGGAATGACACTAATAGTGAGGGAATGATATTTTATTTTAATACATGTTTTTATCTAANAAAATGTAGTTTTTTTAATATTAACGGATGCTGTCTTCTACATATTAAGTATAAAATCAGGTGAGAATTTTTTTTTTAGTAATCTATCCATTTTAAGTAGAAAAATATATTTAGTATAGAAATTAAAAAATAAAATTTTTTTTTACTCAACTGTAATAGGTTTTTAAATTAATTTGAAAACAGACCTGAAGCATGCTTTCGTTCCATTATAGCCTCATAAATGAAAGCTACAGGGAAAAATTAGAGGTTTTTTTGTTCTTATAATTTTATGTTTCTTGGAGTGCTGTGCATAAATTTGCATTATGTGACTAGAACTTTTCCAGGTAATTTTTTTTCGGGAAAAAACTGGAAAAATCTATTTTTCTGTTCATAACTTTTTCTTTTTGGCTTAAGATAAAAAAATAACTGAAGGCATATGTGAAAGTTAGAGAAATTTTTCCCATACATTCTGTGCCTATAATGTGTTGTGATAAATCAACGAATTACGAGTGCGTGAATAAAAACTAAATCATTACAATGATGTCTCTTTCAGTATTTCAACGGAGAAGAGAATAATTAGTAGAGGTTTATGAAAAAATTCTCTGATGGGATCTAGTTATAGATAAGAAAAATATTTTCATTTCCTAAACTCTCTTATTAAGTATTAATGCGACTCTTACACTCTCCCAATAACTATTATCTTTTCAAAACCTTTTCCAAAATCAAAATTTTTAGAGTCTTTTCCATTCTGAACTTTCGAATATCTTCTTAAATTTTTATTCAATTTAGACTTCTAACAACACTCATAAGAGATTTCTTCCTTAACCCTTCACCCCTCACACCTTACGACTAAACATAACTTTCTTAAAAAGTTTCCTGATACCATGATTTTTGGTTTCTCATTTTTAATTTCTAAGCGAATAAGTTTTTAAATGTTTTTCCCCCAATTTCGTAATTGCTATAAGCTACAAAAAAGCCAAATTACCAAAATTATACAAATACCAAAATATAAAAAATGGTAAAGACCAAAAAATGTTATATGAAAATAAAGAAAAATAAAAAAAAAAAAACATAGTTTCACGAAACAATTTTAATCGCAAAATGTGGATTCTTATTTAGCACCTCAAAAAATGTACAAAAAAGGAAATCTCCCGCTAATTTTTCCAGAAAAAATCCTGTATTACTCAAACTATTATTAAATAACTCGCAACTGTTCAATAAATTGTACAAATTAATATTAAATATCAAGAAATAAATTTAAAATTTACTAGAATTCCGCAACAAATTATGTTTACTGGTAGAAATTTAGACATGAAGTAAGTTTAATATTCTGATTAAAACATTGAATTTTATGAATCGTTTACCTAAGCTTTTATTTGAAAGAGACGAAAATATTTCTTACGCTTGTAATGCGTTTTTTCAGGTAAACGCTATTATTTTTAATCAAAGAATTCAGCTTTACTACTTATTTTAAAATTAATAATTTTTAAAAAGTACGAATAATTTTTTTTTCGTAATTTATAATTTTCAAGGAATTTGCGATTAGCATATTAGTTCAACTGAGGTTGTTTTGCTACATATCAAGGTAATAAATTACGCAATTATTATGTAAAGTATTACCTAACCTCGTTTTGAAGGTAGATAGTTGGTGGGATCAAGTTATTCTTCGCTCAGCAGACGAAAAGCAAACCGAGGAAATGTTATTGCTTTTTAAAATAAATAATTTGATATTTTTTATCTGAAATTCACAATGATCATCCTTAAAATGATCGAGTCAATTCATATTTAGATCATGGTCATATTACAGCCTATTTTCATTTAGAAAAATCTTTCTCTGCGGAATAGTTAATATTATTTAGTGTAGATACATCATTGGCATTGGTTCTTGTTCCACATAAATGTTTGGCTCCAAGTTTCGAATTTTTCAATTCTATCGATAATTACATTTTGCATTTTATAATGCAATTTTTTTTCTTTGAAGATGTCAAACTTTGCGACTCATGTATTGGTCTTAAAATTGACTTTAAAAATATAAATAGGTAGTTTTATTTAAAACAGAGGCTGAATAATGTTTTCTAGATTTTTTTTTCTTATTTTTTTAATCTTTCTTTTTCTTCCTTCCTCTTTTTTTTTCCTTCTTTCTATCAAGGTGAAAAATAGTCTTACTAGCAGAAATTTAATCGTCAACTGTATAATATATATAAGCACACATTTTCAGTTTTTCGTCAGTCAGACATGTATAATGCGCTAGATTAAGCAATTTTTTATTTATAAATAATTAAGTAACTAATTAAAAAGTTTCTGAGATCATTTCGTTTTCTCATAAACAGATGAAGTTGGTTGAATTCACTTAGTTTTGAAAGTACCATACGAACTTTTTTTTCATTCATTCGCTATTTTATTTATTACTTAAGTAATAATTTATTACTTTTTGATTATTAGCTCCGTATGTATCAAGGAATAACGTTGACGTTCACAGCTTGAATCCACAGCATCGACAAAAGCGTGACTATGCTCCAGCCTATGATTATCCCGATACAGGAGACCATTACAACCAATATCATGTATCTGATTACTATTACCAGCATCCCACAAGTCATTATAACCAATACTCTGGTCACGGGACAAGTGTCTTAGCACCCATCGGAATAGTGGGTGGAGCTGCCTTAAAAGCGGTTAAAGTTAAGAAAGTAGTGAAAGGTCTCAAGTATCTCTCTATTCCACTAGGATTGGCAACGATAGGAGGAATTGCTGCTTTAGCAAGTGGAGCAATACCACCAGCCCTTGTTGGAGGCATTAATTTACCCTTCCAGGTACGACAGAGTTTCGAAAATTTTTTTAATCATCTAACCATGTTATCATTAACCAAATTTTTTAATCTTATAATTCTTTGTTTATTCTATTAATTTCATTGCAAGATTTAAGTAAGGTATCCATGGCAAAAATAATAGTATATTTATGTTGGTTGATTCAATAGAAAGTTGACCAGCTTGATAACGTCACAAATGTAGCAGCGTTACTCTCCAGGGTTATAAATTAAAGTAAGAACAGTGCACTGTAGATTAGGCATAACCGAATAACCAGTTCACATGAGAGTATTGACAGTGATTGTAAAGTCGTGTTAAGATGATTGAACGAACAGGAGAGCGAGTTTTTAGTAGCTGAAGGTCAAGGCAAGCGTAAAACAGCCATTAATCATCGAATGGTTGCTGTTAATGGTAAACAATGTCCAGAACAAACAGTTATGAACGAATGGTGTAAAAATAGCGTACATCAATATTGGAAATGCGAACACCATCATCTTAAATGAATGCATAATCACCATTAGTGAAATGTTCAGTGGTAATTGAAGCTTTACGGAAGAAACTGAAGAGTTATTTATAGTGTCATGCAGCATTTTTCCTGAATAAAAGGACGGAACAGTCACCTTCTGACAATAAATAAATAAATGAAATAGAAATAAACCCAGTTACACTTCATGTTGTTTCGTTTTGAACGCATTCTTCTTAGTCTGACTTAACATTCACTTAAAATGCTCTCATGAAAATTGATTAAGCAAGCTGCTATCATTACCATATTTCTGACACTATTACATTTTCCGCTTTTCATCCTATCAACCATTATACACTTGAATTGAATGGTTATTTTACTGTTTTAAATCCCAGTAAGTCTGTAAGATTATATTCCTTATTTCGGTTACAAATCAATATTTCTGATCAATTTTTGACTCATTTTATTTATTGAAATATGCCTCTTGAACTTCGTTACCGAATTTGAATTTTAAGGTAATAGTTGTTCTCAAAACTAGTTTTAAAAATGCTTATAACTTAAAAAGTTTAAAATTTTATAATTGAAACAAAAATTATTTCAAAATATTGATTAGTAACTGAAATCATAATCATTAATTTTTCTGTCTGACGCTTACAAATACCAATTTTTAAATACTAACGGACTTGATCATTATGTAGGCAATAATAAGTTTTTGTGTTTTTTGTTGTTGTTGTCGTTGACCAGTAAGGCAAGGAGTGCGATTGGTCTTGCTTTCCAATGACGCCATTTATGGCCAAGAATTTGACTTCTGCCACTCCCATACGTCACATCTGTTTACAAGTCTGACCCATTCGTTAGGTTATAGGGCTAATCCATTCTTTCATCCACCGATCGTAATTTTGATCTGAACCAGAGAACAATCAATCTCCAATTGTGCCCTGCAAACCAGGCTATCCCGGCATCTTTGTGTTTTCTAATGCTTTCTAATAAAAACTTAACCCTTTGTAACTCAACAACTCTGATTTAAGAAATATTTACGCTGATGTTAGAATACATCATATTAAGCATGTAAAAAATAATGAAAAATTAAGACCCCAAAATTAAAAATTTATTGATAAAAAGCATTTGTTGAACACCTCCAATATCGTGAAAAATAGCACAAAAATTCCAACTTCATGTGAAAATTTTTTAAATGGTTGTTTTTATGGTAACAAAGTCTCACACCACATTTTTTAATCCCTCCTTAGCCAAATATACAATCAAGGGGATTGTTGTAAAAAAATTGTATATCCTGCAATTATGTCGTGGAACAATTCTTGCTAAACGCATGATAATATTGGTAGCTGCATCAGGACTTGGTTCCCCCGAGTTTGCAATATTTTCTTTACCTGAATTTAGTTCGATTTTATAGGTAAATCCAGCTCATTATAAGATTGAATTTTCATGTATGTTGCAGATAAGTAACGCGGTGATACAAAGGGTTAAAAAAAATTTTAATCAATCAGGAAACAATATTATGGTTTGGTGTAAAATTATCCTCTTCGAAAAATTGTAGCTTATCAATGTAACCTGAAGACTTTAAGATATTGCCAGCAATACGTGCAATCATTATTTAATGTATTTTATGTGACAGTTTAACTTCAGATTTATGATTCAAGTTCAAATGTCAAGAAAATATTTTTTAGATATTTTTTAAAACAAATATTATTGTTTTTTAAAAAAAATATTATTGTTTCAGGGTTGAGGAGTATTTTCAAGAGAAGAATCCGTCTCTGAGAGTTAATATGTCTTTAATTCAAAATACTAAATTAGTATGAAGCATTCTTAGAAGAGATGAAACTCGCTATGATATTTTAATGTATCAAATTGATATCTTGTAACTGTCTTATAGTGAAATGTCGTAGTCAGGAGAAGGATTTTTAAGTTGCCTGCTTTATTTATTATGAGTATGTTTTCATCATTGTATCGATTGCATTTTATTTTATAATTAGGTTAGAAAATGTTTCGAGTATCAAGTATATTTTGAAAAAAAAATGCGAATTTTTTTTAACAATCTTACTGAGAACATTGCTCTTAAAAACAATCTATATTTTATTTATAAATTTTATAATTTCAAAACTGTGTATCTCTACTGAAAACTGGAACAACTATGCCTTTATGAGGTAATCATATTCGCACTTTTTAATATTGTTTTTGTTTTTCATTTGCATTTATTTTGAATTTTCTTAACTAAAAAAATTTAATGAAATTGTAGTCTTAAAACATACATTAGTTTCAATTTGCATCTCAAATAATTCAAACCATCCATTGTATATTAAGTTATACGTAATATTTCATGTTGTATATTTCATTAAGTAATAATTGTTACAATAAATTTTTCGGTTTTCTTTATACGTATTATTCAGGTACTATTAAATATATTTTAACTATGAAGTGTTCAGACATCTCATTATTTAAAATACGTAACCATTTTATTATTCAAATATGCTAATTAATATTTTTAAAATATAATCTACACTGAATGAATCATGTTAAATTTTTAAGGAAAAAACCCATTGAGATTCAAGGCTTAATGATCCTATTTATTTTAGAAGATATTTTGTCTCGAAAAACAATCTTTCTGATTTTTAATTATTTAAAATTGATGAAAATACATTATACTAGTAAAAATTGTGCTTCTAAAACCAGGTTTTCAGATTGTATGCTAGAGTGGTTTCGTTAACACGGAGAAATATTTTGTGTTGAATCTTTCATGGAGTCCTCTACAAGGATGCATTTGATATAAAAAAAATATTTAGAAAAATTCGGCACAATAAAGTTGTATTTAGACTCCGCCTGGAGTGTAAAAGTCGGGGGGAAAACGGTTTTCTCAAAAAAAATTGCTTAGTTTTTGCTATAAAATTCGAACGAGTGTTAGTATGAATACAAATTTGATGAAATAGACAATGTTTCTAATTATATTCTTAAAAATTACTAAAGGGTTAAGCTCCCTTTTCGCTTCCACTCACCAATCCCGATCGTTGCTTCGCAGCAATTGTTGTTTCTTGGCGTAAAACAGTTTTTTTTTCTACTAAAGTTGAAATTATTCACTTAGCATATATGTATAAAAAAATAAAATGATACCCAATGTCTACTTCAGTCATCATTTCACATTACATATGCCTAGTTTTGACGTTTGAAAGATATTAAGCGTTTAAATTTCTGTGTGGAAATACCGTTTGTTAAATTAAAATATTATGTTGCTTTAAAATCTACAAAGCCAGTACATCATAATTGTATTATGTTTTATACCTAATGACAGCAATACTGCTGTGCAATTGAAAAATCAACGTAAGTGGCAAAAAAATCGAAATTGAGATTTTAAGATACTAAGTTACATACTGCAAAAGAACTTTTTTTAAAAATAAATTTTGTTTTATCAGGTTTTTGAAATTCTATTTTAGCGCTCATAGGCATTAGCAATAAAGAGAAAATAGTTTTCATGGCACTTTTCTCGGAATCAAAAGCTAAGCACTTACGTTGTTTTTTGAATTGCACCACAGAATACTTGTGCTATGCAGACAAAAATGCGTGTTATTATTTTAATAATAAATGCTTTATCTTTTATCTGCTTAATCTTTTGCTTTATAAAAAGTATCATTTCAAATTAGATAAAAAATAAAGCATGCATATTTATTTTAAACAAAAGGTTTAAATTGTTTCTGTTTCAACGGTAATTTAAAGTCCGAAAGATTAGATTTACCTGATTCTGTTTATGGCCTAGCAAATAATGGTAAGCAATTACTTCGCTATGGGAAAGGGTGCCTAATAAAATTGGAAACCAAGAGGTGCGAGAAGGTTCACAATCAAAGAAATTTTGATTTAGGGGGGGGGGAGAAAACAAAGATACCTACATTTTCATTATAATATTGAAATCACTTTTTTAAACTTTTCGAGGACTATATGAGCCTTGCATATTACATTCTGATTCTGCAGATCTAACAGATTATTCGACAGAACCTACTGTCCCTAAAAATTCTCCTACTCAACACACTCAGAATATTTTATGAATATCAGTGCAGTGGATGTAGAATACAATACTAAAAAGGATGACTGGATGATATGTGTAGGGTGCATGAAATAACTTCATGAAACTTTGCACAAACTTTGAAAACCTTTGCCAAAAATGTAATAAAGTTTTCTAAAAAGTAATTAATTAAATCTCTTCGTTGAATTTCGCTTATTGGTTTCTTTTTGCTAATTTTCCATGATAGAAATTGTCCTTTATATCTTACTGTACAGTTTTTCATGAATTGTGTGTTGGGAGTTGAGAAATGTGTTATTTTTCATATTTTAATGGCTATCTCAGATGGACATTAAGGAGCGATGGCCATTTGTAAGTTTAATTTCAAAAATTTTTTTTTTAATGTTTTGTTCTCAATGTTCCATTTTTTTATCCAAATATGTTGAAGGTTTGTATGAGAATTTACAATATGTGTAAACACATTTCTTGTATCTCTATTCTTCTGTATTTCGATTTGAAAAAACTATGGATATATCTATTCTGCCTTGCAATTGAAAAAACAACTTAAGCAACGAAAAATTCAAAATTCAAATTTAATATATTTGGCATCTTTGTATGGCAAGCTACATAGGCAAGAAAAGAATTTTCAAAAATAATTTTTTTTTCAGTTTCTTGACATTCTGTTTTAGCATTCATATCATTAGCAATAGAAGGAAAATAGTTGTCAAACCACTTTTCTCAGAATAAATTGGAAAGCATTTACTTTGTTTTTTCGATTGTACTTCAGTATTATAGACTTACTCTATTTTAAAACACGTTTTGATTTAAAATGTCTATTACTCATTTCATTATTAGAATTACTGGAGTAATTATAATTAATGTATAATTCTATTATTATCCACACATGATTTATCAAAACAGTTTATAAACATTTTACTCAATATTATCAGTTTTCAATACACTTCATCATACTTCATACTTCATCTGGGGAATTCACTAGTATTCACCATTCTAAAGTTTTTACTTTTATTTAAGTTACTTTGCCAATAATTCCTATATTTAGTTGAAAATTAATGGAGGGCTGAAAATACTCTTTTCTAGTTTATAAAATAAAAAAGCGGAGTAAAATGTTTCTATCGATTAAATGAATGACATTCCCTCAAAATATTGAAAATTTCATTGTTTCATGGTTTTTTTTAATAATTTTATAAACTACTTATTTTACATTTATAATTTAGAAATTTTTTAAAAATTTTACTTTTTTACAAAAATATTTAATTTAAAAACAATTTTTTTTTAAAAATGAAAAAAATGGTTTTAAAATGTTTTTGGACATATTTTTTTCAATAAATTGAAAATAAATAAATGATTTACAGTTGAAAGTCCATTTTTGATTGTTTGTTTTATCAACCTTTGTTTTTTTTTCTTTTACAAAAATAAACTCATTGCTTTAAACCTCACAGGAAAAGACTCACAATCCTATTTTTTGTTCTAATCCTATCTTTTAAACGAATATCTTTATCCTTAAACTTCTGAATATTTAATCACTTCTTTTAATTGTTCTTTTTTCTTTGAATAAAAAATATCATGTAAATTTAAAAAAAAAGTTTTTTTTAATTCCTTTTTTTCGATTTTAACGATTATTCCCATTTTTTATAAATAAGCAAAAAATTATCAGCAAAAAAGGAAAAATAGATATTCACTGTATACTTATGAAATTAGCAAACTCCTAAAAAAAATTGCTCAAAAAGTTAAGAGAAAAGCAGTATTGTCGGGATTGTTAAAACTAAAAAGTTCCAGAATCAATCCCATCGAAGACATCTATCCTATTTATGTTGATCCGAAGCAACTTAAGTGAAGAGGGTTCATGTAAAACGAGTAATTTTTATAACACGTCCCAATGAATTTGTGTATCCTTTAAAATGAAATAAAAAAAGATTTCAGAAATATTTGCGTAGCCTTATTCTGGGTTGCATTCAAATTTTTTCAAACTTTTACGTTTTAAAACTGTTAAAAGGAAGAAAAAAAAATATTTTAATATTTTCCAAACTTTGAATTAAGCTACTTTTTGAGATTTCAACTGGGTAATCATAAGTGTAGAATGATATCATTATTTCATATTAAAAAATTAGATGTGAATATTTTAGTTCAGCCCTTAGTAGAGGAATATTTCAGGCATTCATTTGCATAAACACATCATGTTACAAAATAAATAATGGTGTTACAGGTGTCCCCAACAGCTCCGATCCTAGCCTATTGATAGAAAAATAGTACTTCTGTTCAAAATGGTGGCATGTTAACTTGCTTCAATTCATACTAGTTTGCCCTCCGAAATAAACATTTTCACCGCACTTTTAAATTTTCGTGTATCTGAGCACCAAAATTGGTGGCAACCACTTTGCCCCAAAGCGGTGTTTCACTTAGTGTTCCATCACACCAAAACCAAGGATAGTTCCTGGTGGGATGAAACACCTAGAATGTTTTTTAACACGTTGAATGCCATGGGGTCACCGGTGACCGGCACTGAGTTTGTTCGTAGCGTTACAGGGGTCACCGGTGACCGGCAAAGCCAAGATTATTAGAAACACGTAATTCGAGTAAATTTTTAATGCTTTTAGTTTTTTTATATTATTATTATTACTAAAATGGTTTGAAGAAATTAAATCAATATAGAACAAACAAAAATCATTTTGGCCAGACGGGCAAGCCATGTAAAATTAGCGTGGCATTCAACGTGTTAATAGAGAATTTTATTATGAATTCGTGCAAATTCTCCAAAGTGAATAGAAGCTAAATATTATAAAAGTACTTTATGCAGAGGACAGATTTAAGTTAAATCTTATAAGAAAATAAATATCTTTATTATGCAACGAAAAGCATACACGCATTTTATAGTAGTTTATATGAGTAGTTTGTCAAATCAAACCGGCAAGCAGATTGAAATAACTTGGCAGATAATCGACTACAATCAATATTTTTTTTTATCAATCAGTAAATAGATTTGAGACTTATTTGGTATTAAATAGTTTATTGTCAGTTTTTCGATTCAATCCGAGCAGAACAGCTCACATTTTCACCAGAAATCAGTATATAACTAAGCAGACATTTTGGCTGCGATATTTCCGCTATCTTGAAATTATTCACCTTTAAATTTTTAATAACGTAATTTCACGGTAACAAGAAGAGGCAAGTTTAACGTACTATCAAAATCAGTTGTTAACTAATTACACATAAAGTAAAAGAAAGCTATTTAATTCAAAATATTACTAGTGCTACTCGCTTTATCTTCCTTTGAGATTATTGGTTATACTACTTCTCACAGTCTTTTTGGCGATTAGCTTTCGCCAAATTATTTTCAAATTTAATATTGATTACTAATTTTAAATCAATATTAAATTTACTGTTGGTTTTGTTTTTGGCTGTGTTATCT